TCATAATGTAGAAGTTAGTCACCATGAGTCTGCTGGTAACCTCCGCATAGCAATTCCAGTGATGGTTTTGGTGGAAATGCTGCCGCCTTGAGCAACTGATGCATGCGCTCACAGGAACTTTTAAGTGACAGACCCTAACTGGTAAAATAACAGAGAAATTATTGTAGTCATTTCCTCAACAATACCATCAGTCCATGACTATGATGTGTGGGACAGCACTTTAACTGATTAACCGATGAAACAGTTGAGTATGATCTCACTTTCAGGACAGTTTGTTACATGCCTCGACATCTGATACCAACGCACAAGGCTCCCTTTAGCACCTGTATGACACACCAGGCTTTCAGAATCCACGTAGCAAGGTGGTCAGGGTGGATGGATGGGTCAAATAAATACAGGACTTTCACCCAGGATACCGCTGTTCGTGTCCGATGTAAATAAGCCTGTAAACACAGGACTTTCACCCAGGAGACCGCTGTTCGTGTCCGATGTAAATAAGCCTGTAAATACAGGACTTTCACCCAGGAGACCGCTGTTCGTGTCCAATGTAAATAAGCCTTTAAGAACAGTGACCAGCTTTGAGGCCAAATATGGACGTTCAACTTCCTTTTCCATCACACAATGCTATAGGGCCGAAAAATACTTTTATTCCATAGACTTCCATTGTGAAAGAGACATCTGTAAATAAGCTGATACATTTTTTTGAGTGTAGCAACCCTCCAAAATGACTCGTTTCACTATTAGAATTTGATCCATTCAGTCTAAAATCATTTCTAAGATCTAGAAGAGCTGCACGATTAAATAACTTCAGTCCTATTTAAGATAGCAGCGGGCTAAACCAAAAATTAGCCACTCGGCTGCCGTCAGTCTCTAGTATGCTTCCTCTGTGGGCCTCATTTCATAACAAAGAAATCAGGATTTTGGCATCATGCACCAGTGAGCAACTTTACGTCACATAATTACGTCACATTACGTCTAACCCAAACCCCATAACAAAATGTACACCCAAATCATGATGTTTTTTCTTCCTTAACCAAGTAGTTTTGTTGCCTAAACCTGACGGTGATGGTAACACAATGTTAATCCCGTGTTACAACTTGTTTCATGCAGACCTGTTGGGTAACAAACTGCAAAGACACATTATCAGCTCAACCCAAATGAAAACACTGATGCAGGGAGCGTGCTGGCAAGCTTTTGCCTATTGACACACTTAAAAGATATGACACCAGTTGCATTCTCCTGACAAATCGAAGTCCACTATCACTCTCCTTTAAGCTCTGTTTCCTCTCCACCAACTCCAAACGCTCTTCAGCTGCTAAATGGTTCACTATGTTCAGTAGATAGTTGCTAACTTCATCTGTTATCTAGTGCTGGGAATGCAGAATATTATGGAGCACAAGAGTGGTCAGAGAAAAAAAATGACGAAATGAATTTGAGTTGCTCCAGCTGTTAGATGAAGATCCATTTCTGAAGCTAATCTCCTCGCAGCAGGGACTGAGGCAAATGGGCTGCAGGATGAGCTGTGCTGGCTCTCTGTGTATACACTTAACCTAACACACAAATGAACCAAAACCCAGGAACTGTATATTTAAACTGAGGTAATGAATTATATCTTGTGTGCATGAATTAATAAATTGTGGCCTCAGTTTATTTTTTTAGTTTATCTATAGCCATTCAAGGCGTGTAATTGATTTATCAGGGGTTTTTTTTGCAAGGGTGAAAACAACTGCTAAAAGAGGCTGACGAGGGTGAATTAAAACCGATAAGTCCAACTTGCACAACCACATCAGTTGTGTGTTTCTATGTCTGAATATGACCCATAGGTCCACAAAACATGTTTTTAATGTCTGTCCCAAGGGTACATACAGAATTTGGTAAGCAAACATTTATGTATGCAGCTCCCTATATGTAAAATCTTCTGCAGGAGGACTTAAAGTTGCACTCTTTGGTTCTTCTTGGCCGTTTCAAAGCACTGTTGCAGGATTTTTATACACAATCGCCATATGCCGATGTCGCGGTGTGTCTTAGCTGGTATTTGTAATCATGTGTAGTTGCTATTTTTGTTTATTTCTAGTATATATTATCATACTTTTTGGGTTTTCTTTGTAGTAATCTTACTTTGTGTTTTATATTGCTTGTTTTAGAGCTTTACGTTTTTATTCTGTATTCTTGTTCTATGTTGTCTGTCTTGGCCAGGACACTCTTGAAAAGAGATTTTTTTTTTTTTTATCTCAAGAGGTTTTTCTGGTTCAATAAAGATAGATTAAATAACTAAATAAATGAATAGGAGCATTTCCTAAATTAGTGCACCTACCGGTGGACAACAGATTAGCTTCTGTATGTTTTAAACAAGTGGGTAACACTGTGAAATGGTCACAGTTGCGCCAAAACTACGTGGTTAGATTTAAAAAAAAAGATGATTGGCTTAAAATAAAAACATTTGTTATGTAATATATCTCACATCACATATGTCTCATGAAACCACTCAAAAAACACACTGTAAATCATGTTATATATGCCGACATACTATATTTCGCACACAGGACACAAACACCTGTGTCCTGGATGAAAGTCCAGCTTGTTTGACCTATCTACCTCTGTTGCCTTTATTATACAGCATCTGACTTCCTCCCCTGCCCCCATAGAAATTACTATGGCCACTTGAGGTTGCTGTGTAACAAAATAATGTAAATATGGATTAATTTCTGCTCGTCAAAACAAATTATGTGATCGTATTTTGGAGGACAGTCCCATCAAAACAGCAAACTTGCGGTACAACAATTAAATCAGCGATGCTAAACTGCTTTGTACATTTTGGGGAAACTGCTGAGTTAGGTAATAATTATATGAGGATTCATCCTATGAGTGATTGCTTTTACAGCATATGTAGCCATTTTCTGACGTAGATAGGAAAATATTTATCAGCTCAGCTTTAATATCCTATACATCATGCTGAATTTCACTGACATTACACAACATGTAGGATTTTCCATTTCTTTGTGTGTAATCCAAACACACTTCCTTTTTTAGAGTAAGGCGCAAATGGAAAACTTTGGGCGTTCATGCTGATAAGTGAGATGACTAATATCATTGTTCATGAAAACAACGAAACATAATTTCAAAATTCTGGGGCAAACCAAACAAACAAGTATGTCATGACAGGGTAATTATTTGTTGGGTAAAATGACACAATCATAAAAACACGCCAGATGTTACTCGCAGCAAAACAAGTGATGAAATATCTGAACTTTCCCTCTTTTCCTTCTGGTGATTACATTACCATAAGCACGTAACCTGGCACTGGATTACTAGTGGATGAATCACACAGTTGCTGTACAGCGCTCTCCTGTGTTGGACTAAACAGTGCTATGAGTTTGTACAGTCCTCATCCATGAGTGCATGTGGAAAAGTCATTTAAAATATACACAGAGATCATGTAATCATCAGCTGGAACAACCAATCAATCACCTTTTGTCATGTCATGCTTCGGGGCACCCACAGTCAGCTGCGCTTCTCAGAAACCTGAGTCATTGTATGTTTTGTATGGCTGTTTTATTTGCCACCTGTCTAGGCATGTATGCCCACATGTTGTCAAAGTGCAGCTGTCAGTCGTGTTTAAAGACTTGAGACAGTCTGGTGAAGACATAATCGCTTGGTAAGATTCCATGATTCATGAAGAGGAAACTGCTATCATCCTCAATCAAACCCCTGTAAACACACACCCATTCACATTCAGTACGTTATCTGATGATGCTAAATGGAGGCAACATGTTTGAAGTTTGTTGTTTTCACTCTGTTGGGGAGAAGTGTGAGAATAACCGTGACTTTTAAACTATGTCACATGGGAGGATGTTAACTTAGGATAACCAGACTTGGATTATTTTCGCAAGCCACAACATTGCATCGACAACACAGTGACACATGAGCACGAGATCAGGGCAGATGCCTTGTTAATTAAAGGAATAGCTCAACAATTTGGAAAATAGGCTGATTTGCTTTGTGTAGGAGAGTCATATGAGAAGATCAATGCAACTCATATTTACCTGCTGAGTATAAGGCTACAGCAAGTAGCAGGTTAACTTAGCTTAGCACAGAGATTGGAAACAGGGGCAAACAGGTAGCCTGGTTCTAGCTGAAGGTAATAAAATCTGCCATATCAACACCTCTAAAGCTCTCTCGTTAACAAGCTAAATCATGGTGGAGACCAGTTGTCAGGCAACTAGCAGATATAATTTGTAATCCAGGACATAACACTTATTAACACCTTGGTTTTGGATTAAATAGACAAAGCATATCAGGTTGTGAGGTGTTTTAAGGTGGATTTTGTTAAGAACCAGGCTAGCTGAAACGTTCTGCATATTTCCAGTTTGAGTGGAGCTTTAAACCAGTCTGATGAGTCATTTACCTTGGCCACATTTAAGATAAGAAAATAAATATTTTACTGATCCCTGAGGGGAAATTTTGACATGTAACAGCTGTTCTTACTGGTTTACTGTATGTAAGCATGGATAAATTACAATAAAATAGAAAGAACATACATAACATATAAGAAATATGTACAAATATGTGTATCATACTACAACTGTGTTAAGTATAAATGCAAGAATGGAATAAATATGAATTAAATCAGTATTAAATAAGAAAACGGTATTGTAGAAATGAATAACTTCACAATGTTTTGTTGTATTATTGTAAATAATAAATAAATGATGGGGTTATAAATGCTGAGGGGTGACACAAGTCCAAAGGCCAGTCTATTGACTCAGAGTGTCTGGCACTGAGGGAGGGGTCGAGAGGTCTAATGGCCACAGGCAGGAGTGACTTCCTGTGGCACTGTGTGGTGTATCTCAGAGGAATAAGTCCTGCACTAAGTGTATTCCTGTGCTTCTGTTACACTTGTCATTTTATGTGTCTCATATCTGGATAAACTCCAGGTTGGGACTTATATTTTCTGATGCTGTTGAGAAGAACAAAGTGCTGACACACACAGAAAATGATGTAGAAATCATTTTTTATTTGCCTTAAGAACAGGAAAGTATACTTGAATTAGCTAGCTAATTAACAAAGATTAATGAAAAAAATCACATGGATAATAAAGTAGCATCGTGATTCATTGAAAACAAGCAGACAAATTGATCAGATGTGCGAAATACTAAGCCTCGTCCTGGTGTTGGATCAGACATACCCTGGCCTCACCACAAAGCGGTAGGTGTACTGGTCATCAGGACAGGGGTAGGCAAGAACCTGGGCCTTACTCACATAGGTGAGAGAGTCCTTGAAGTCCTGAACCTGACAGATGTACTTGCCTTGGCACATGAGCAGGAGACGGTTATGAAAGAGGATGTTGCTCCACTTGGTTAGGCTGTTTTGGGAAGCCAGCCTTGCTGCTGGGAACAACTCGCACCTCACGCCTTGGTTTGAACATTCATGTTGGTTTTTGAAGAAAGTTGCATCCCAGCGAATGTTGTTGTTCTTAAAGATCAGGCTGTTATGGATAGGTGTGTCGAGTGACTTGGTTGGGATTTGATCGTATCTACCATGGTAATACATCCCGGAGTATCCATATGGATTGCGGATGTGCTCAGCAGTTATATCAGTGCTCCATGGCTTGGCGGTGTAGATCCTGGGCTGGTAATCTTCATCTTCTCTGTTGAACTTTGGGTTTGACTGCAGGTCGCTGAAGAGCAGAACATTGAACTGGAACGCTTTCAAGATGTTTTCATGATACATAATCCTATGGGTGCTGTAGAGAGAAGAGTTGAACTGCAGGTTATACAGTGCCTCCGCGGGGATCATAGGGAAACGAATGCGACTCAGTAAGTTGACTTGTGTTTCCAAACTGGTGGAGTTGGTCTTCTCTGTGATCCAGCTCTCCACAGTCTGAAGCAGAAAATATTCATCCGGCACAACCAGGTCTGAGCGGAGTAGAAGGGATCCAAGGAACTCAGCGGAGAGGTGGAACCAAGCAGGGGACGTGGTCAGATTTTGGAAGTTCCAGGCCATATACTGTAGACAGTCCTCCTGGAGGATCAAGTCCCCAGTCTCCTCTGCGTATTCGTAAAGAGACACCTGGGTGTGGAACGATTCGTCCTCTGGGATGATTTTAGAGAACAGCCGGGCCGTGTCATCCATCAGATGCTTCACCCCAAACTTATAAGCCATCCAGTGGAGGCACTGCACAGAAGAGAAGTCCACATCCACCTTGCGGGTGTACATGTACCTATTGAGATTGGAGAGTACTTATTAGATTTTTTATGATGTTTTACATTTGTCTTTATATCTAAATGTTTACAGAACAAATGGGTGATATATGTAAATTCTGTATCCTAAAGGCTGGGTGTGTAGGATTTAGTGGGGTAGAATGGCAGAAATGGAATATGGCCCCGATCACACAGGAAGCGTTTTAGCAGCTGGAGGCGCCTTTTAAAAATTGTTTTTAATGAGAATTGGGCCTTCTCTGGTGGCCACAACAGCAAGTTTACAGTTGGTAAACAACGGAGGAGAGACTGGTCATAGAGGTTGCTCAATACCCAGAGCAATAACACAAGCCTAAGATGCCAGCCTAAGATATGCCTGGAAACAGCCATCATGGAGGCAAAGCTCCTGGACCAACTGGTGGTACTCCCCGTGATCCACCCTCTTTTTTAGAGTCTCATGTACCCACACAGATCTCTGTTTCCCTGTGCACAATAAACTATTTGCTGACAGCCTCTCACCCTCAACCAGAGCCAGAGGAAGTACCATCTGCCTGTAATTTTAGTAACTAGTGACTAATTACTGTGAAATGAAAAATAAATTGATCACACGGGAAGGATAGTGCAAGGATGCGCCTCGTGTTTTGCAGCCTGTGAAATGCTTTCTGTGTGATCAGGGCCTAAGTATGTTTTCTTTAGTGTGTAATCACCTGAAAAAAAGAATTGTTGTTTTTTTTTATAACCATAGAAGAAGCTGTTTATATCTACATAGGGAGCAAGTCCTCATCCACAGAGTCTGCCATATTGCACTGCCATGTTTCTCCAGTTGCCCAAAATGGACAAACCAAACACTGGCTCTAGATAAGGCTCTTTGTGTTTTTAGCGTTGGCCACCATAGTTAGCAGGCCCTCCACTACAAGCAGTGTCACAAAAACACTACTTTATTTGGTGTTTTTGTTGGTTTAAATCACCAATTCTATTTGTTTTGGAGAGGAAGAGACCTCTGAGAATAATTTGGCTCATGGTAAAAAAAACTCCTGAACAAAGAACATTGAAAGAATTCTGACCTATAAAAGTTTAATCTTGTTGCAAACTGCAATCCTCACCACTAGATGTCACTAAATCCCCCTAAATCTTACACACTGGTCCTTTAAATTAATGGTTGTTTACCTGATAAAGGAGGTGAAATGTGGTTGGCAAGACCGGCGGATGTTGACAGTGATGTTGGTGATCCCCTCTGAGGCATTGAAGAGTGGATATTGTGAGAGGATTATTTTGTGCACGCAAATCGTTGTCTCATGCATCTCCAGGGTCTTGTCCTCTTGTCTGTTTCCAGAAGGACTCTGGACCAGGATCAGGAAGTCACAGCCGCTCCCGCTGTCAAAGATTTGGCCGAGGTCATCAGACAGACTGATGCTGTGGTCCACGGAGTGTATGGAATCACTGATGGTCATGTTTGTACCTGGAATCACAAATCATTGAATCCATTAACATTTGACAGAGCACGGAGAGCATGAAGACCGTTTAGATACTTACTGCCTGTTTCACAGATAACTCCGACATCCTCTTTGTGGCTGCAGTCAGTTTCTCCCCAGCTTTTGAAAGCGCATGTAACCAGAAGTTTCTCTGTGCCCTTGCATGTCAGCTCATCCAGCCAAATCGGTCCAGACACTATCATGTAAAATGAAAGGGAATACATTCGTCAATGTGGCAGTAACACATCATGCAGTGGCCTTTTTGGCGGCTGAATTGGTGGTGTTAGTGCCAAATCACTGATCTTCAATCATTACAATAATGTCACTGCCCTCTGGTGGGGAATAAACGGAAGTAAAGAGCACCTGTCCCATAGCTCCTCCCAATGACAACAGATTTGGCTCCGGGGAAGCGAAGCTGACGACATACCACCTGGGCCTCAGCCATGTCCCAGCCATCGTCACACACCGTTCCCCATTTGCCATCATGGTAGACTTCCACGCGGCCCTCGGAAACAGTGCCTCCAAACAGCCTCACATCACCCTCCTGCTGCACAGGGTTACTCTCTATGTCTCCCCCTGCAAACACAGGTGTAGGATATTAACCAAGGTCATGAGAGCTGAAAGGTTATACAAACATTCGCATAACCTACAGTCTGTGTTGAAAGTGCATGATCAGAATATATGTATAAAATGTAGGCATTGCATTGCATACAGTCGTACATTAAAAACCAGTTAGACTGTTTCCTTTCAGTACAATTAATTTCAAGCAAAAGTGTTCACACAAATGAGATATATTTCATGACTTACTGAATAGATTGAATTTCAATGCGCTAGAGACATGGAGAAGTAGCAGAAGCCCCAGAGTGATTATGTTTCCGTGCACAAGCATTTCCAAACACCAGTGTAGGACTCTGACACAGACAGACAATGACAAAAAAGAGGCAATGTGAGAAATATGTTCTTCATTACTTCACAATTTAAAGGAACAGTGTGTACGATTTAAAGAGATTTATTGGTGTCAAGCATTGAGGATTGCAGATTTCAACCAAGTGGAACTTGTCCTGATTAGAATTCCCTAAGTGTGCATTGTTCAGGAGGATTTTACGGGAATCAAATTATCCACAGATCTCTCCTCCTCTCCAAAAGAAATGGGCTGGGTGATTAAAACTAGCAAAAACACCTAATGAAGTGGTTTCATGTTATAAATCAGTGTTTCTTTTATGCTGTTTGGCACGTCGCAGATGAGGCTGACTAACTACGGTGGCTGACACGAAAACGCAAATGGCCCTATTTGGACCCAGTGTGTGGTTTGTCCGCTCGGAACTACTGTAGAAACGTGGTGCAACATGGCAATCATCAACAATTCCTGAAGATGAGGACGCACTCCCTATGTAGATAAAAACGGCTCATTTTAAGGTACTGAAAACACAACGATTCCTATTTCTGGGTAGACTTAAGAAAGCACACGCATTATATTTTATTCCATTCTACCAATATATCCACCTAAATCTTGCACACTGGACCTTCAAGAATATTCTTTGAATTATTGGGATGTTAACAGGACTGTCTGCAAACTGTCTTTTTGCATATAAATCAATGCATTTATTGCTTCAAAGGGAAAATATAAACCTACATTAAAATGGAATTTTTTTCAACTGACTATACTAAAAATGTGCATTATAAGTCAAAAGGTCAAACTTAAAAGTCAAAATATGCTAACTGTTTAAATATAATAAAACCACGTTACCCTCTTCCCCTCTGGTGATGAAGCGCTGTCGTCCGAAAATGTGCTTCTCCCTTTTGGAGTCTGTGACACAAATCTTACCCCTTTTAAAGTAAAAAACCAAGGCTCACTTCTCCATTCCCTGCTGTTTTCCCGAGTTTCATTTCAGTTGAAAGCAGTTTCATTGTTTTGCAAACTGCTCCTGTTGCAACTTGTTTGAGGACAAGGTTGAGGTTTTATTTAACTGTTTTTGTAAAAAAAAAAAAAAAAGCCAACGTGTGAATGAAATGACAAGACACAGGAAATAGGAATCAAGATTTTTACTCAAGTCATCCCACCAAAAACATCACATAATTAATTTTTCACCAAAATGTCCTTCAAACATTACGTTTCATGAGGAATAAAAACAGTCCTTAAGTTGTTTCACTGAAAATAGCATGTTCGGTGTGTATAGGATGATGTTTAAAATGGAGCAAAGGGGGAAGATAACCTTTGACCTTTTGAGAGTGTACAGTATGTGCATGAAAACATATGCTTCAGGAAAAGAAATCACAGTCTGATAAATCAATCTTTTGTACATTCATTATAAGGAAGGCTACAGTACTGTTGAGGGCCACATTTGTCCTGGGAGGGAGATGATCCACCACGAGACATGCTGGCTTTGTTTGTGTTGACTGGCACTTTCTCAAAACCCAAAGCGGGACCGTGTTTTTCAGTGTCAGCCCATGGTTCTTTTATGTGTACTGAAGATGATCCTCTACGGGTTGGAGTTGTGTCTCAATGAGAGGAAGCAGCGAGTACAGTAACTTCAACAGTGACTGAATTGTAAACAAAATAGAACAACAGTGCAGTGGCCTCAAGTGTGAGTCTCTCAGTCTATATGAACTCTAAGCCCTCATATTTCACGTCCCCAATCTTAGTTTCAGGTAAAAGGATGCGTCCGTCAAGCGTGAAGGCCATGATGTACGTGGCAATCTTACCGGCGTCCTCCTCTGACTTGAGAGCCAGAATGATCTGGTCGTCAGTGTTGGGGACGAACTTGAAAGAGGAAAATCCGTGAGTGGGGTTGAGCTGACCCACTCGACTTACAATGATGTCTTTGAAATCTGGCGAGCAGCTCAGGGCAAGGTTCGTGCCGCGGCGCTCATCCGCTGTCTCCTCGTAGCGCTCATTGCTGGCGCGGCGAGGGAGGAAAAACCAGCGCTGCAGGGTGTCGCTCCACGCTGCCGATTCGTGGATGAGATATCCTGCGGAGATTCAGACGTAAAGGGTAAACAGCAGGAAACAAACGGAAGCAATCGTAAGCAAGACCAGATTCACATCCTCACCTGGAGGCTCTATTCCTGCAGCAGACTTGAGAGATTGGTACTTGGGAACCCAGTTTTCATGTCGTACATCCCCTCTGAAGCCCACTACTTTCACCCACTCTGGGTTGTTGTTGACGAACTCCCCTTCGGTGGTGGTCCACTCTTTCCCCAGACCGCCGACGTACAGGTGCTTGTCTTTCACCGCCAGCCACTCAGCTTTGAACCCTATCAGGAGAAGGTAAAAGTGGCATTAAACACATAAAAGTACTTGATTACAAGCAAGAGTTCTGCATTTCAGTTTAAGTACAAAAGTATAATGAGTAGAATACACTTCAAGTATCGGTAAAAGTACTCATAATGCTTTGATTGATTTTTAACAGTGTGGTGGAAATTTTGTCTTCTTAATGCATATGCTTGTATCGTTTCATTCTTCCCATATGCCTGTAAGTGTGTGACCTTTGCATTCCCCTTTTGTATCCATCTGTTGATACTTGACATCATCAAGAGATTTACATTCACTATAATCTCGCCTTCAAAGACAGTCCGTTGACTGTCTAACAGATACAGCCGATTACCTAACATGTTGCAACAGGTATGTTCCTTTAGCCCAAGAATGCTACAATTGATTTCTCATCATCTTGTCGTCTGAGTGTAGGTATAAAGATGCCCTCTATTCACTGTTCTGGGCACAACCTCAATCTATAGAGACTAAACTCTCGTGCACAAAGCTATTCAGTTATTGCTCGCTGACTCCCAAGCAGATCGGCTAAAAACTGCCACAACAACAGTTAAGTTAACTAGTAAGGCCTTTGCACACTGAGACCATTTTATTTGTCTGAAATTGTTGCACGACTAAAAATAAATAGGACCTCACATTGTGTCAATTATGCTGCACAATGGTCTGAAACGTTTGTCCGTGACTGAAATTTTTCGCAACAGGTTCGATTTTCTGCGTTTTTCTCAGCTGTCAGAAGCCTTTAGTGATGTTTGAAAAAGAATCAGTGAGGAAAATGTGGCGGCGGGACACATCAACGACAAGACACATGAACGGGACGCTCAGAATCATTTCATAATTCAGACAGCTACTTTCAACAGGTCAGACAGTAATACACAGGTGGATGATGATGCAGAGGAGGATGTAAACTGCACACAGAATGTGCAGACTGAGACAGAGGACAGCTCCACCGCTTCACGCAGCTGCGGTGCCAAATGAAAGACAGGGAGGGAGTGATGACAGCCGGATAGGTAACTCCAGTGGAGAGAGGCAAAGGAGGAAATGTGACTTTTCGTTTTGTCCTGTATTGCTAATTTTCACAACGGAAGTACAATAAAACGCATCGGAATCAGTGTGTAAGGTTTCTGTGCGTAATAATTTTTTTTTGGATGACAGATTAAAAAAAAGACACACCCGAAAAAGACTCGACTCAGTGTGCAAAGGCCTTTAATCTGTAAAATTTCCTTTCTCCTTTTCAGCCGATATTGGCCTATACATTAAGATCAGAATTTTTTACTCCCTAATGTGAGTATTGGCCCCAAAGATCCAGTTATCATCGGGCTCTATGGTATATGCATATAGCTATCTCAAACTAAGGGTCAGGCTGCTCCAAACGGTCACAGGATGAACCTGAGGTGTTGTGAGATGACCAGAAGTTGTTCTAAATAAAATGCATGTCCATTTCTTTCTTCTTTGCTTTTAGTGAATTAATGGATAATTGTACCTCTTTACCATTT